TAAAATAGCATCTCTCCAGTCTACAAACAGGGCTTACCCCCTCTGTAGATATTTACTCTGTAAATATATTATCTGGGTAATAAATAAATAAATAAATATTATGGATGTCTAAAGGAAAAGGACAAATAATTCATTATAGCTAACAACTACTATACAAGTAAGGCAAAATATTTACCGAACATAGAAATTGCATTTTTTAAGCAGAGCCAGTGAAACTGCAAAAAAATATGGTATAGATACCTATTTTCAAGAAAAAAGGCAAAGGAAAGTTAAAAAACATTTTGATGAATTAGCTGCTGATCACCGATTCCAAACAGAGAAGAAATATTTAAAATTGAGATTTTCAATTATGTACTAGACACATCAACAGCTTAATTAAATACACGTTTTACTGATATGAGTGCAGTCTGTCAAATATTTGATTTTCTAACATCAACATTTTTATTACATGTTGTGGAGCAACTTTATTACAAAACTGTGACGAATTCCAAAGAAAATATTCGGATATAATAGGCCCTACCTTTTCACTCCAATTTATTAATATTTACCACATAGTTTTACCTCAATTAACTCAAGCATGGACTGTTCACCAATTATATAAGGAAATAATGAGCAAATATAGAGTGCTAGAACGCGACCTAACGGAAGTATTTACAACAATGTTATTATTCTTTACAATTCCTGTCACTTCTGCAGCAGAAAAGTCTTTTAGCAAGTTAAAAATAATAAAAAATTATTTAAGAAATAGTATGGGCCAAACTCGAATCCGACATTTATCGTTAATAGCAATTGAAAACAAAACCGCATCAAGATTGGATTTAACCGAAGTCATTGATACTTTTGCGAAAACTAAAGCTAGGAAAAGATTGTAAATATAATTATTATTTAGTCAGTTGGTAGGTCCGACCTTTATATAATAAACCCTTGAATCTTTTCTATTTCATTTTATTGCCCAATACCTACACCAAGTATTAATTGTAATTTATGTTGTTACAGTTTAATATTTTTATTACCTGCCCGCAGTGCACAAAAAAGAGCTGATGATAAAGTAGCTTAGCATTTTTAAAGTATTTGTATATTTAATATTTCTACTTGATAAAACCTAACCAGTTTAAATAGCAGTGGGGTCCCATTTTTTGATTTGCTCCAGGGCCCTTGGTTACCTAACTACGCCACTGGTATGGCAATTCACACACGGTAAGCTTAAAGGCTAATTCACACATATAAGTTAATAAAACAAACTTTAGGGGCTTCACAAACAAATATCAAGTCGGTTAATATAATCTATCGACCTGGCGGTTGCCAACTGAAAATCCTCAGGTCTACCGTTGTAGGATCTTGTGGGGCAATCCTCCGTAATGTGTTTAATCGTCTGCTACACTCCGCAGTCGCAGTATGGTGATGGTTGTTTGCCCCATTTGTGCAGGAGGTATGCGCATCTGCCGTGTTGCGTTCTAATTCTTTTGAATGTGGACCAGGTTCTGCGCGGTAGGTCAAACCCTAGGGGCTTTTGGGTAATGCAGCGCATATTGTTGCCTTGTTGAGTGGTCCATTCTTGAGTCCGTGCATTGGTCAGGTTGAACTTTTCTTGCGTTGCGTACTTGACGTTTTAGTCGATGGATTTCTGGAGCAGAGACGAATGTGGTTAGCGTCCTCAATATCTTGATGTATTGGCAGGTTTCTATTTTCCATAATCTTTTTGAACTCTCGTGTAAGGGCATTTATCCATCGCAACTTTGGGGGTTGAATATGCCTAATACTGGGAGCCACTGCGTGGGGGTCGACTTAATGACACCAGCGATCATCCTAATGGTGTCATTCAGTTGGGCGTCCACCTTCTTTACGTGCGGACTCTTAGGCCACACTGGGACACAGTATTCAACTGTCGAGTAGACAAGTCCCAGAGAGGAGCAGCGTAGTGTGGAAGCCGATGCTCTCCAAGTGGTGCCACATAGCTTCTGGATTATGTTGTTCCTGGTTTTCAGCTTCTCAGCGGTTTTAGTTAGAAATTCTTTAATTGATAGTGTTCTATCGAGAGTCACTCCCAGGTATTTCGGTGTTTTGTTGTGGGTTAATTTGGTATCATCAAATCGTATGTTAAGCTCTTCTCTGGCTAGTTTGTTGTTGAGATGGAAGCAGCTGGCATCTGTTTTGGAAGCATTTGGTTGGAGTCTCCATTTGCGGAAATATGTACTCACTGTCTCCAAGTCTGCTGTTAGGATTTCCTCGGTTAGTTTGATTGAGTTACATCTTGTTGCGAGCACCTAGTCTTCGGCGTAACCGAACTTATTTGATATTGTTTCCGGCATATCCGCTATATACAAACTGAAGAGGAGCGGAGCGAGGACTGATCCCTGTGGCAAGCCATTATTAAATTTCTTTGGTGAGTTGATGTCGGTGCCCATTATTTGCAGGGTATTTTTCTGAATAGATTGCAGAGCATTGCCTCCTTCTATACGGTGTTATAAGCTGCTGAGAGGTCGATAAATGCAGCTGAGGTTTTAAGTTTTCGTTGGAAACTCGCTTCGATATAGGTGGTAAGTGCCAGAACCTGGTCTGCACAGCTTCGTTTTGACCGAAAGCCCGCCTGCTCAGCTGATACTGTCTCCAGGATCTCTGAGCTGATTCTATTGTGGATAAGTTTCTCCAGTAGTTTATAGGACACGGATATAGAGCGATTGGCCTGTAGCTTTTTGGGCTGTCAGTAGGTTTACCTGGTTTCAGTAAGGCTATTACCTTAGAGCGTTTGAATTCTGGTGGGACGTTGCCAGATTGCATAATGTCCATGAAAAACTTGGCGAACCAGAATTTGGTGTACTTGCCGCACTTGATTAGGAACTCGGGGTGGATATTGTCGAATCCTAGGGCCTTTCCCGCCGTGACATTATCTAGAGCCTTTGAAACTTCCTCGGTGGTGAAGGGGCGAGAGTGTTCCGTTTCCGTGGCTTCGGCTTTTAAGGCTTTAAGTTCTCTTTTTATCAGAGTGGTGTGTGCTCTATCCTTCGGTGCTCTGGCTGTTGCTACAATATGTGAGGCTACTTTATTTGGGCTAACGCCTATTGCTTGTCGATACTTTGGTTCTCCGCCTCCCAGCCTCCTCAGCAGTGCCCATGCCTGCCTGCTCGATATTTGAAAATTGAGGCTTTCGACGGTTTCAGTCCACTTTTGTTGGCGTGCAGCATTTAGGCTGTGGACTAGTTCATCCGCTATTTCCTGGTCACCGATTTCAAAGAAGGTTTGGTATAAAGTCTCAATGTTTTGAGACCATCCAGGCGCAAACAACAATCAAATTAAACGAAATAGCTGAGAACGTCTCATACGATAGTGTGGTCAATTTTAAGAGTTGCTTTATCCTTATCATTTTCAGCGAGCCTTAATTGAAACCAATTTTTAGCCGCCAGTTAATTTTTGTCAGTTATTTCGACAGAGATGTACTGCAAAGCTAAATTTTTCCATAGGGTGTTGTTTACAGTCCAGTTCGTTCCACGTAAGACGGAATTTTAAATTTTCATAATAATCACTATTGGTGCAACGCTAATTCGCATGTCGTACATTCTTTGCGATTTCAAGGGCTGTTTTTGGCAAATGTATGATGTAAAAATTTTGGAGACTTATTTGATAAGTTTACTTACAGTCACCCGCAAAAATACCTCGATGGTGGTATGAAAATTTCGTCATCATAAAGTCGTAAGTCCTAAGACTGATTGAACATTCACCTCCACTCTTTTCTATCCTGACCTAATCTTCACATTTCCTAAAAAACCCACATCCTTAACTATTTGCGAAAAGTAATCTAATCTAAGCCTACCTGTACCCCTCCTAACTCCCGTTTCTGCCTCTAATAAGTCTCTGACTAGACCTGCCTGAGAAGGTGTCCTACCAACCTATCTCGCCTATTTCTTATTGACTACCATAGAGTCCTCTGTTTTCCTATTCTTTCTAATACCTCTTCATTTCTAACCTTCTCTATCCATGGTATCCTCATTATTAGCCTGTAACACTACATTTTGAACGCTTCTAACCTTTTCTTTTCCGACGCGTCCACCGTCCATGTTTTGCAACCGTACAGCGCCGTGCTCCAAACATACATCTTTAACAATCTTTTTCAAATTTCTAAATTAACCGTTCGCAAGCATAGAAACTATTTCTTTTTATTAAAGACGACTCGACCCTGCGCTATTCTCTGCTTTATATCTCTACCACTTCTTCCGTCCTGATTTACCTGACTTCCCAAATACCTAAAATCAGCCACTTCTTCTAATTTTTAGTCTCCTATCTTTATATTCGCTCTTTTCCTACTTTTTCTTCCCTTGCATACCAGTATTTTTGTTTTACTTTTATTTATTTTCAAACATTACTGTTTAGTAATTACCGCTTACATTTTATTTAAAGCTATCTCCAACTTTCCTTGCTAGATGCTAATACTGCTATATCATGTGCAAATCTAGTCATTAATCTTTTGCCCCTGTATATCTATCCCTACAATTGTACTGTCTGTAATGATGTTGATCACGTCTTAGATGTATAGATAAAAAAGTAGCGGCGACAGTGTGCATCCCTGTCTGATACCCTTCCTAATGTTTATTTCTCTACGTTGCAGCTCCACCTCTATAACAGCCTGTTGCTCGTTATGCAAACTAAGTATCACTCTTCTATCTCTGTAACTGTAAGAATGGCATCCCCCGTTCCTATATTTCTTCTAAACCCAAATTGACCTTCCCGTAGTAGTTCTTCCGCCCTTTTTTCCANTTTTTGTATAACTGCTTTAATCAGAAAAACTATTTTTCTAATTTTCTGTTATACTCACATCTTGTTTAATAGCAGATTCTTGGTCAACACATTCAATAAATAGATACCAGTAAAAGTAATTGGCTAAGGTAAAGTTTTTACACGCCCTCCTTATAAGGAACGACGCCAAATCCATTGGTTCTTCTTCTTCTCTATAATCACTTTGCAACGTCTCTGTATTGCCAGATTCAGAGTTAAAACAAGTATTTTGATTTAAATTTTCATTTGAGCCGACGTTTGAATCAAAATAGAGAGACACATTAGCACTAGATTGACCCATGTTTTCAGAGGCAGATTTAATCACAGGTTGCTCACTTGTCAACGTACTAGAAGTACTCTCTTTACTGTCTTTTTTTTCCAAATATGGATAATCTTTTTCGTCGCTTGTAAAAGGGGTACCTCTGTCTGGAGCAATCCTTTTATAAGCTTAAAGTACGACAGATTTTATAAGTTTATCCTTATCAACAGGTTTAAAAGCATAACAAAATAAAAAAAAAATAAAAATTTAATATACTCATAAGAGAAAGCAGAAAAGATGACACGTTTTTACTCATGTAGAATTATGTTTAAAGTTAAAGCACCAAATGTTACACATTTTCCAGACATCTTATATGTATGAATGAATAACAAAAAAAATTGTGTGGTTTTATGAAACCACGATGCAAGTGAAACTTTTCGGATTGTAAGCATTTAACTGTAAATTTTCGGCAAATTATTCGATTTAGGGTATTAAAATTAAAATAGCGTTCTTAATCTTAATGATTGAAAAATATAAATGATAATGGGAAATCAATAGTAGACAAGACAACTACAAATTGTAATTTCAATCTGCATATGAGAATAGGGAATATATAATAAATACAATCATTCAGATGATTTAAATGATTGAATCATTTTGAACTTCAGTTATTCTATCAATAATTTCATCTTCGCTTTGACTTTCACTGTCTATAAATGTAATTGTCATGTACTTGCACGCACGAGTGAGAATATAAATACTACACGGTTAGCTCATGCGAGCCAACGACGCCGCCACATTGACCTTGGCTGCTCTGCCGAGCGCGTTTCAGTTTTACCCGTACGCCGCGGCCGGCTGTAATGCGACATGCGATAGATGGACGAAAAGATTTGACGATGTAATAAAAATTTCACTTTAATAATATTATTTAACTTACCCTCTTTTACATCTTCAAAATTTTCGTATTTCAACGCTTGCACTAACTGTAGCAAATATAACAATAAATCTTCATCAGGTGCTTGCTGCAGACGTGAAACTGCATATTTTCTAACTGAGGGATGAGTGAAATTAGGACTAAGTAATTCTAAAGCGTCTTCAACGTCCATTGGTGCCCAGAGTTCTAGCATTGATAATGCCTGGCGAACTTCGTTGTTTTGCGTCCAATTCACGCATTTCAAAAACTTTGTTAAAGCCTTCTTCTGATTACTGAGATAAAACCGAAACTTCCACACATTATCCTGTTCTTCATTCGTTAATAATTTGGTTGCAGGATAAGAAACTATACTGTTTAACATATCCCTAACAGTGGCATTAGGTTTAGCGTCTTTATCAGACAAACCACTCCTTAGAGACCTTGCCAACTTGTGGTGCTTACTTNTTGATACTTTTGCGAAAACTAAAGCTAGGAAAAGATTGTAAATATAATTATTATTTAGTCAGTTGGTAGGTCCGACCTTTATATAATAAACCCTTGAATCTTTTCTATTTCATTTTATTGCCCAATACCTACACCAAGTATTAATTGTAATTTATGTTGTTACAGTTTAATATTTTTATTACCTGCCCGCAGTGCACAAAAAAGAGCTGATGATAAAGTAGCTTAGCATTTTTAAAGTATTTGTATATTTAATATTTCTACTTGATAAAACCTAACCAGTTTAAATAGCAGTGGGGTCCCATTTTTTGATTTGCTCCAGGGCCCTTGGTTACCTAACTACGCCACTGGTATGGCAATTCACACACGGTAAGCTTAAAGGCTAATTCACACATATAAGTTAATAAAACAAACTTTAGGGGCTTCACAAACAAATATCAAGTCGGTTAATATAATCTATCGACCTGGCGGTTGCCAACTGAAAATCCTCAGGTCTACCGTTGTAGGATCTTGTGGGGCAATCCTCCGTAATGTGTTTAATCGTCTGCTACACTCCGCAGTCGCAGTATGGTGATGGTTGTTTGCCCCATTTGTGCAGGAGGTATGCGCATCTGCCGTGTTGCGTTCTAATTCTTTTGAATGTGGACCAGGTTCTGCGCGGTAGGTCAAACCCTAGGGGCTTTTGGGTAATGCAGCGCATATTGTTGCCTTGTTGAGTGGTCCATTCTTGAGTCCGTGCATTGGTCAGGTTGAACTTTTCTTGCGTTGCGTACTTGACGTTTTAGTCGATGGATTTCTGGAGCAGAGACGAATGTGGTTAGCGTCCTCAATATCTTGATGTATTGGCAGGTTTCTATTTTCCATAATCTTTTTGAACTCTCGTGTAAGGGCATTTATCCATCGCAACTTTGGGGGTTGAATATGCCTAATACTGGGAGCCACTGCGTGGGGGTCGACTTAATGACACCAGCGATCATCCTAATGGTGTCATTCAGTTGGGCGTCCACCTTCTTTACGTGCGGACTCTTAGGCCACACTGGGACACAGTATTCAACTGTCGAGTAGACAAGTCCCAGAGAGGAGCAGCGTAGTGTGGAAGCCGATGCTCTCCAAGTGGTGCCACATAGCTTCTGGATTATGTTGTTCCTGGTTTTCAGCTTCTCAGCGGTTTTAGTTAGAAATTCTTTAATTGATAGTGTTCTATCGAGAGTCACTCCCAGGTATTTCGGTGTTTTGTTGTGGGTTAATTTGGTATCATCAAATCGTATGTTAAGCTCTTCTCTGGCTAGTTTGTTGTTGAGATGGAAGCAGCTGGCATCTGTTTTGGAAGCATTTGGTTGGAGTCTCCATTTGCGGAAATATGTACTCACTGTCTCCAAGTCTGCTGTTAGGATTTCCTCGGTTAGTTTGATTGAGTTACATCTTGTTGCGAGCACCTAGTCTTCGGCGTAACCGAACTTATTTGATATTGTTTCCGGCATATCCGCTATATACAAACTGAAGAGGAGCGGAGCGAGGACTGATCCCTGTGGCAAGCCATTATTAAATTTCTTTGGTGAGTTGATGTCGGTGCCCATTATTTGCAGGGTATTTTTCTGAATAGATTGCAGAGCATTGCCTCCTTCTATACGGTGTTATAAGCTGCTGAGAGGTCGATAAATGCAGCTGAGGTTTTAAGTTTTCGTTGGAAACTCGCTTCGATATAGGTGGTAAGTGCCAGAACCTGGTCTGCACAGCTTCGTTTTGACCGAAAGCCCGCCTGCTCAGCTGATACTGTCTCCAGGATCTCTGAGCTGATTCTATTGTGGATAAGTTTCTCCAGTAGTTTATAGGACACGGATATAGAGCGATTGGCCTGTAGCTTTTTGGGCTGTCAGTAGGTTTACCTGGTTTCAGTAAGGCTATTACCTTAGAGCGTTTGAATTCTGGTGGGACGTTGCCAGATTGCATAATGTCCATGAAAAACTTGGCGAACCAGAATTTGGTGTACTTGCCGCACTTGATTAGGAACTCGGGGTGGATATTGTCGAATCCTAGGGCCTTTCCCGCCGTGACATTATCTAGAGCCTTTGAAACTTCCTCGGTGGTGAAGGGGCGAGAGTGTTCCGTTTCCGTGGCTTCGGCTTTTAAGGCTTTAAGTTCTCTTTTTATCAGAGTGGTGTGTGCTCTATCCTTCGGTGCTCTGGCTGTTGCTACAATATGTGAGGCTACTTTATTTGGGCTAACGCCTATTGCTTGTCGATACTTTGGTTCTCCGCCTCCCAGCCTCCTCAGCAGTGCCCATGCCTGCCTGCTCGATATTTGAAAATTGAGGCTTTCGACGGTTTCAGTCCACTTTTGTTGGCGTGCAGCATTTAGGCTGTGGACTAGTTCATCCGCTATTTCCTGGTCACCGATTTCAAAGAAGGTTTGGTATAAAGTCTCAATGTTTTGAGACCATCCAGGCGCAAACAACAATCAAATTAAACGAAATAGCTGAGAACGTCTCATACGATAGTGTGGTCAATTTTAAGAGTTGCTTTATCCTTATCATTTTCAGCGAGCCTTAATTGAAACCAATTTTTAGCCGCCAGTTAATTTTTGTCAGTTATTTCGACAGAGATGTACTGCAAAGCTAAATTTTTCCATAGGGTGTTGTTTACAGTCCAGTTCGTTCCACGTAAGACGGAATTTTAAATTTTCATAATAATCACTATTGGTGCAACGCTAATTCGCATGTCGTACATTCTTTGCGATTTCAAGGGCTGTTTTTGGCAAATGTATGATGTAAAAATTTTGGAGACTTATTTGATAAGTTTACTTACAGTCACCCGCAAAAATACCTCGATGGTGGTATGAAAATTTCGTCATCATAAAGTCGTAAGTCCTAAGACTGATTGAACATTCACCTCCACTCTTTTCTATCCTGACCTAATCTTCACATTTCCTAAAAAACCCACATCCTTAACTATTTGCGAAAAGTAATCTAATCTAAGCCTACCTGTACCCCTCCTAACTCCCGTTTCTGCCTCTAATAAGTCTCTGACTAGACCTGCCTGAGAAGGTGTCCTACCAACCTATCTCGCCTATTTCTTATTGACTACCATAGAGTCCTCTGTTTTCCTATTCTTTCTAATACCTCTTCATTTCTAACCTTCTCTATCCATGGTATCCTCATTATTAGCCTGTAACACTACATTTTGAACGCTTCTAACCTTTTCTTTTCCGACGCGTCCACCGTCCATGTTTTGCAACCGTACAGCGCCGTGCTCCAAACATACATCTTTAACAATCTTTTTCAAATTTCTAAATTAACCGTTCGCAAGCATAGAAACTATTTCTTTTTATTAAAGACGACTCGACCCTGCGCTATTCTCTGCTTTATATCTCTACCACTTCTTCCGTCCTGATTTACCTGACTTCCCAAATACCTAAAATCAGCCACTTCTTCTAATTTTTAGTCTCCTATCTTTATATTCGCTCTTTTCCTACTTTTTCTTCCCTTGCATACCAGTATTTTTGTTTTACTTTTATTTATTTTTATACAATACTGTTTTGTCAATACCGCTCCATTTTATTTAAAGCTATCTCTAACTCCTCCTTGCTAGATGCTAATACTGCTTTTACCCCTGTATATCTATCCCTACAGTTGTACTGTCTTTAATGATGTTGATCGCGTCTTTGATGTATAGATTGAAAAAAAAAACAATGTACATCCTTGTCTGACTCCCCTATATATGAAAATTTGCCTTAATAAAGTCACAATTATCTAGATAATGCTCATCTACCGACTAATGTTTACGTAATTTACATTTTTCTTGCTTTTATGTTTGTATATTTATGTAATTCTGCCTGTAACGTACTTATTTAATTTATTTAGTGTAGTACTAAATTGTTTCGTCGCTGTTTCTTCCTCTAGTTCAATCAAAAAGTTAATGTCAAAGAGGGTAATAAAGTGTTTATTGGATTATAGAACCGAAACCAACGTTTCGATTCTTGTTGTATATGTTTATCTTAGACGTTCGATAATCAACAATATTTACAATTTCAATTCATAGAGTTCGAACTTTCTGAAAGTTGTCAATACCGGCTTCGGATTGTAAATTGTTGTGATTTTTTTATAAATAAATTTTTCCTTAACCACCCTGCTTTACTCACCATGCGGTTACCTATTGCATCTAGTTAAATCTTCCAGAGCTCGGCACTTATTTCTGTTGCACCCTGCTGCATAGGTGTTTCAAAAATACAAAAGAAATAGAACACCGATGGTGCTGTAAGTAACAGCTGATTGAATACTGCGTTACAATGTCGCATTTTCCTGCATGCTCCTACCGGACTGGCCGTTGTCTGTATTTTTAAATAAGTACGTTTTTCTCGAAAATGTGGACTTTCGGACCATCAAACATTTACTTAATTTTCTTGTTTTATAGTATCCTGCAACTTCCTTATAAACTCAACAAAAAAAGATATAATAAAGATAATATAATCATTTTGCCACATGTATGTAGGCAACACAACATACATAATGGCAAAGAAGACTCGGTTTCTTCACGGCATGTACTGGATCATTCTAGAAACACGATCAACCTCTATAAATAGTTGTCGCAAGAATGTAGTAGTATGAGACAAACAGTTCGAGGCGATACAAAACGAAAAAGAAGGAGCCAAGAAGTGAAAAAGTGTTCATATAGTGGTGAATTGACAACTGATTAATAATAGAAGTGTTAATTGGACAGCAAATATATTGTTAAACTGAATCTACCACAACTTTTGTAAATGCCTATACAGCGCATAGAAACCTGATATTAAATAAAGAATATCTAGACTACTGAGAATGAATTGCTCATCATCGAACAAAAATCATTTATTATTCCTAACGTTAAATGGTAATCATTTTAATAATTAGTATTTAAGTGTTTCTGAATAGTATACAAGAAATGAAAACTGCTAATATGTTTTTCATAAGAACATAAAAATGGTAAAATACGTAAAATTCAAGTATGTTAGTCTGAAGTTATTAATGCACCCAACAAAGCTTAACTCCAGAAGTAGTTATATATTCCATTAGCCTTATTGTGTAGGAAGTAGATACCTGCCGTAATGGAATTTCGTTCAAATTTAAGTTAACATAAACGGAAGTAAATGAAACTTCTCTCATCGGAGATTATTAATGATGTTCACAAGAGATGAAAAGAAATTTCCACTCAATCAAAATTTCAAAACCTATTAGCATTGTATTAAAATATTCAAGACTAACTTTAAAATACCGAGGCCAAATTGAAATAAATATTAATTGATGCGAAATCAAAAATTTATTTACAGTTACTGTGCAGAATTCGTAGAACTCGTGCAGATCGCCCATCCTTATAAACATGCACAAAGAATCAACCAGAACTGAACGATTATGCTAATTGCTGATACCTTTACAAACTGACGTCCTCTTATTATTATTAGACAATTTAGAAAAACTTTTAAAAAGCACATTTGTATTGAAAAAACAGCTTTTATTTTGAAATATGTACTTTATTTCAAAATCTAAAACAAGGTAAATACAATCTATCAATTAACTATATAGAGATTTTGCATCTTTTATTTATTTTGCAAGAATTTATAGATGAAAACACCTTTAAGGTCAGTATTTCGCCTTTCGCTGTAACCGTCCTGAGAAAGCAAAAGAAAATTGATGACATTAATTGTAGGTATCTACTGTAATTGTAGGTATCTACTGTAAGCATGCATTTTTAGCAATAGGTTCTGAGATTACGACCAAAACTGTCAGGGATAGTTAATAATTACGGCAATTTAGTAAACAAAATTTTTAAATCGGAGCAATACAAACGAAAACACGGCCACAACCGTAACCTAAAAATCCTAAGCAATTAAATAAAACATTATTAAACGTAATACATAAATTAAAAAAGAGAAGGAACGTCGGCAAGGAATGAACTCCGGTACCACTTGTACGACATACATCCATAGGAAACTACTGAGCTATTTCGTTTGCTTCTTCTGAAGTTTGATCGACAAACATGATCAAAGCATATGTACTGTCGAAAGCAGTTACTATATAACTACAATATCTTATAGAACGGCAAATTAAGACTGGACAAGGTCAGACGACAGCAGATGGTATAAAGTATTATTAGTTAAAAAAAAAACAAAGACCTAGCCTAATATAATCTAACCTAATGAATTAAAAGGGGTGTGGCGCACTAAGCTATTTCTATTAGTATTACAAAATTCGATAATGTCCAAAAAATGTATCGCTTGTTTGGACGCAATTATTTCCATAGGCTGGCAAACCGCGGTAAAAAACGACCAGAAACTCTAAAGCTTATATGTACTTACTTTAATGTCTAATAAAACACTAACTAAAAGAAGAAATTACTTTTTATTTATTTAATTTATTATATAAAGATAAATACTATCACACATTTGTACATCACAATTAGTAAAAAAATTATTACAATACAAAATGTTTAAATCACTTTCTCCAATATTGGGCGAATTTATGAAGCTGTTCCACCAAGGCTGCCATTACCGCAGTTACGGACAAATCAATTAAATTCTGCATATAATGAACAGCTTCTTCATCACTCAAGTCCAAACGTAATTTATCTTGCACCTTTCGAACAGCCTTATCAGGTTCTAAAGCTATATCTGGTACACTCGCATCCACCATCAAAGAAAACAAGTTTAACATTAAATTAGCATGCCTAAAAAATAATATAGAGATATTTACACATATACTCGTCAATTTCTTAATTAATTATAACAAACTAACATACCTCCGAAGATGCAGGAATGCTGTATAGCATTGTTTCCGAAATTCTTGGTAGTGCTCTGAACTAATTCCACCCATACCTTCTACCATCTCTTTACTCAATTTCATAGGAGGAGGTAATGGCTTGGGATCTCGCCCCAAAATGTAACCAAAGTCAATATGAAACAATTTTCCAGATTCTGTTAAGAGAAGATTATCCAGGTGCCTATCTCCAACACCCAGTAAATAGGTAATTACACAGTAACCTGCACACGACCTGACATAAGTATCCATGATCTCAGGTGCAATACCATACGGACCATTTTCCTGAGGATGGTATTTTCTAAAAAAGTTATGGATGCTACCTGCAATACAATTTTTTCCCATTAACACATTTATAATAGTATTATAAATCCTGGAATTACAAATTTTAGCGTGATTTTATTCGACAATTAAATATGAATTAATTTGAAAATATTATATATATATTCACCTTCTTTTGCTAGTGCCTCAGCCACAGTTACAGAATCGATATATTGCAAGAAACCATGTTTGGCACTCGTTGCCAAAACCCTATAAGGCGTCAACTTTAAATCCAAATTTTCTTTTCTAAGTAGCTTATCCATTAAAGTGATCATCTGTAAAATGAGCTGGTCTTGTCTCAAATCGTCGCCGTGCTTAAAAATTGCGACGTACTCAGCATTATTGGTTGTCACAAAATGCAACTTGGAAGGCATTAAAGCAGAGTTGAAAAGACTAGCTTTTTCTGAAAGGATCCCTTTAATGTACACCTCTGGATCTAGTGGAAATGGAAACGGCTCAAAATTTGCAAAGTTAAATTTAAAGGCGTTCGGATCAGCCAGTAACTGTTGCAATTTTGACATTTTCTTCGCCCTATTTCCACCTTCACTAATCACAGTTTTAACAAGCATCACGAGGCTATTGATGAATTTTTGCTGACTAGCCAAATAATCCTTTGTTTTCTGATAATCTGCTCCACCTTTACTGAGAGTCAGACAAAATGTTTTCATCACAGTTAAGTACATTTTACGAAAAATAACCTACAAACAACTTTATATTCACAACAAAATAAGTACTTATACTAGAACTAATAATAAGCGCTATTCTACATTTAAGAAAAGGTAAGTATAATTGTTTATTTTATACTAAATTCATTATTCACTTCAATTAGGAACTTCTAATATATTTCTGATACTTTTTTTTTTTTTTTT